AGGTTATGGACGATGCTATCAACAATGCAGCTGCTGTCGTCAGGAGTCACAAGAACCGTCACGTGCTGGAATGTTTTTTGCTTGAGTGTCTGGGTTTCCCAATCCGGTTTGACATGCATGTGCCTTGAGGGTCTATATAGTTTCTAGGAGCATGCATGTATATATCTACCAAAAATATATTTGCTGAGGGTTCGATCGGATTAAGGTGAGAAGAAGAAGCAAGAAGCTGCCTCCGCCTAGGGTACCACGCCAGAGTACTGAAGGGTGCAATAGCTGCATGCATTTTGAAAATAAACCGAAGTAAAGTAAGTCGCCTCGGCATGCACATGCACTCTAGGATCTGGCCCGGGTTTTCACAAAGCATTGCTCGTGGCTCATGAAACTGAGTTCCCGGCGAATGCATTTCGTTCCGTATAGTTCTGCACCGACAGCCTGTGTTAGGCTACGCGATCACAGGCTCCGAGTGGCACACGATTGAAAAAGCTCTGAGAACTGCCAGTGCCTTCATGCATGCATTTTGAGGTTGAGGGTTTAGGTTATATATGGTTCAGGGTTTAGGGGTCAAGGTGTAGGGATTATAAGTTTGTGACATGAAGATGATCATGTAAGTAGTTTCTCCCGTTGCAGACGAAAGCCTCGGATAAGTGGTCATTGTGCCAAAATGCTATCGTGCCTGCAAGTTTCAAGCCAGGTCGCCAGCATGCATGAAGTATTATGCTATTGCTATACCCACGCAGGTCACGCCTTGGCATCTACGCGGCACGGCACCGCGATCTCCAAGCTCGTGACAGACTTCCTGGACATGCTCATGAAGGGCGAGGTATCGAAAATCATGCATGCTTTCTAAAGCTAAACCCCTCAACCCTCGATCATGCATGTTGAAAAGAACCCAGATCCCTCGATCATGCATGCCTTAAACTCTTAAACCCTCAACTTGCAACCCTCATGCATGAAGCATACATGTTAAACTCTTAAACCCTCAACTTTCAACCCTCATGCATGAAGCATACATACACGCATGCATGCTTCGAAACCAATCAACCGAAACTATATATATGAAATTCCCTCGACCCGCATGCATGCCTCGCCTGCATCATCGCAGTCGGAGCGCCGAAAGCCTGAACCCTAAAACCCAAACCCTATAACCCTAGAACCTTAAACCCTATATATATATATATTATAATCCTGAACCATAACATGCATGATCGAGGCAAGCATGACGCGGCTGGCTAAGAGCCTTCAGACCCTGAGCGAACTGCCTCGGTTCTTGGTGCCCCGGCGGGTGCTGCAGCTGGCTGATGCTTTCCACAATTCCCATGGATGGGGTCTGGAGCGGACCTTCAACCGCTGGTGCCTTAAGCTGCCTGCACGGGCATGCCTTCCGGAACCATACGAGTGCATGGATGCAGATCAACATTTTTATTATGTTCATGATACATGTGCTGATGCTTTCATGCATGGATCGAAGCATTCATTTCGCATCTGCAGGTTCCAGGTGCCGAGGGTCCGGGTGACATAGATGCATTGGCAATCTTGTGTTTTAAATTATAATCCTGCACGCATTGAATTTGCACGCATGCTTGAAAATTAGCATGCACGAACTGCAGGTGGGGAATGAGGAAGCAAAGCACAATGTCACCATCGGTGTGCTTCTTCCTCACGAAGTCTTCGCTCGCATGCACGACTTCGGAGGGCATCTGTTCAGCGACTTCTTGACCGGAACTCCAGAGGTTGGATCTTGAAACTTAAACACGCATGCAATTGGCCAGCCTCGTAGCATATTACATGCTACAGGATCTCGAGAAATTCTGGCAGCAGAATGCCGACCTTTCGGACGAAATTGCTGGAGCATGGGGCCCGCAGGCAAAGTTGTGGCCGCAGATTATATGTCTTAAACTCGTATACCTGATAATTCAAAAAGGTCTCCTTCCGTAAGATCATGCCCTGGCGACTCTACGGCGACGGTGCCGAAGCCTGGAGCTGGAAGCCAAGAGCACTACACCGTCCTGCAAATATATACTTAGATATATATCTAATACAAATTTATCTGTGTGTGTATATATACCTCAGGCAATGGCAGCTTCGAGCTCATGAGTCTTGTCTCCGTCTGCACCAACAAGACGAGTACATTGGACACTCGCATTCCGTGCCATGGATTATATGCTTTGAAATCAATATGTGCATATGCATATACTGCTGCTTGCAAGGATATGTATCCGCAATGCCATTAGCACAAGCGAGGCCGATCGTTAATTGCATGATCCATGGATCCATCCACAACGCTCTGTGCCAGGAGGTGCGAGACCAGATCCTGGAGATCATTGCATGGTCTTTCCGCTGCCTGGGTGGCACGCACGCATGCTAGTACACGCATCATATATCCCGCATGCCGTGCACGAAATGGCATGTCATGCATGCATGTATACAGGTCGTGGCCGCTGGCCTCGACGAGACCCTTTCGGTCAAGAGTGGCCAAAAGGATATCGGAGAGACAAAGTTGGCCAGCCTTTGGCCGGAGAGTGGCGAGCTGTGATGGCTGGGCTTCAAGGCGACCAAGACTGGTTTCATAAGATATTTCGATTCCAACGAGACTGGCCACGCAAGAGACATGTGTGTTTTTTTTTACCATTATATACATATATACATATATACTGACATATACCTCGCCCTTGTTTTTGTTGCTCAGGATCTTGGCACAGCACAAGGAAGGAGTGTTGCCAGTACTGTGCGGCAACGCAGATCGTGGAGCCCGGTGGGAGCCACGACATGCTGTACACTGAGTTTGGTCGAAATGCCCGCCATCGTCGCACGCATCTCGCAGCATTATAATATATATGTGTATACACACGCACGATTGCCAAGTAGCACATGTTGATTGTCCAGGATCCTGCAGACACGGGCAGATTGGGAAGCTGTCCACTGTGCAACATGCATCACGCAATTGGTAGGATTTTCACCCAAGCGAGTCTTGCTTTGCAATTATTGTATGACTATAAATTCGAGCCTGTGAGTTTTTAGGTATGTTTCAGCCATGGATCCTTGACATACTTCGATCTTGCAGGAGTTTACCCAGATATTCTGCACATTCTGGACTTGCAAATATCTGTGGATTGTATTACTTCGGCCTTGCTGGACTTTTCCGACGCTGGCAAAGCACCAGGTCGTTCGCGAGATGCTAGACTGCGGGCAATTGGCTATGAGTACGCAGACTGGTGTCGGCAGGAAGGCACTCAAGCACGCATTTATTATGATTATAATATATATATATATATATATATATATAGCTGGTAGCATGCATGTGTTCGCTAGATGGATATTCAGCCTGAGGAGTGCAGGATCGTGCCAATCCCAAGCTGTTCCTGTCAAAGACCTTGGGAGAAAGCAAGGATTATCCTCACGTTTCGCAGAAATATCTCAAGGCAGCTGCTTCTCGATACATGGTTTACTTTATGTACGACTTCTCGAGAAAAAAGGAGGATGAGGTTCGTGCCAGCCTTTTCGGAGCATTGAGCACCATGCTGACAGTGTTTGCTGAACACCCGTGTCCGGGCTAATCGTCTTTTTTTAATCATGCATGTGTTTGAAAGTTATAAACGGTCAAGGGTCCAAGGATGCATGCACGTTAAGACGTTCAGGCGCTACTGGGACCACGATGCCGAGGATTGCGATGGCCACCCAGAGATCGTCCTTGAGCGGGCATATATGCAGTACAGATCCGTGTACGATGCCCTGGCCCGCGAAGCAATCGAGCAAGGGGTGTACAGGTATAACCTGCGACCCAAAATGCACCAACTGGAACACGTGCAGCCTAGGTTCGAGAACATCAGATTTTTTGTTGTTTGACTTGCACGCATATATGCACCGGTGGCATGCAAGATCTTCATGCATGCATGCATGTCCGAATCCAAGGATCTTGGATTGGGTTCCTGAGGCCGGGAATCCCCGGTACTACAGTTGTTTCCTCGACGAGGATCTCATCGGCAAGGTCAAGCAATTCGCCTTCACATGCATGCACATGCATACATGCAATTCGCACACAAGATTTCACGCATGATTTCACGCATATTCGCACACAAGATTTCACGCATGATTTCACGATCTGAGGCGGATCGTCGAGCACTCGCATCCTCGCACCATGAGCTTGCGGGCCTTGCAGCATTACTGCCTGCTAGCCGCCCTCCGTTGGGTCGGAACCGACATGTCGTGACTGCTGCGAGGAAAAGTCTGCAGCCGACGTACTGCTCTGTGAGTGTCGCATACATATTTGCACGCATGTTCGCGGTTGGTCGTATATCGGGCGGAATTTTTGCATCTCGCGAGTCGCTTTATCTGAAATTTCTAAGCCTGCTTGTCTTCAAATCCAGTTTTTCGTGTTTACTGTCAAAACAAATCCAACCGACTTTATCTTTATTCGGTTTTCGTCACGTATTTCAACCAACTCGAAAAATCTGTTTATATATCGTCCAAAACCGAAAAATGCTCTATACGGTCGTTTGACGCAAAGAGCGCTTTATGATGTCGACCGGCCTTTCTTGGAAAGTCTGCGGTGTCGGGCGTATCTCACATAGACCTTGCAGAGTCCCTCCCGACACCCTAAACCCTAAATCCTAAACCCCTGGTGCTGTAGCGTTTGGACCTGGGTTGTACTCAGGCTTTCTACAACAGGGTCGGCCTGGGCTTACCTAGATCAGAATCAGAAGCATGTTTCTTGAGCCCAAGGACCCTTAATAAGGACCCCCAGGTTTATACCCTTAACATAGCCATTATATATACGCATTATAGGGCAGGGGTCCCCATTAAGGAAGTTACGCGACATTGTCACTGCAGTCTTCACAACATGCGGTACTAAACCTTAAACTTACCCTGTGCCTCCAGGGACCGTCCTTAAGGGGTCTAGGGCCCTAACTATGAGGTCCTTGGAGGGATAGGGTTAAACCCTTGTAGCATATCATCTAAGACCACAGACACCCGGTGTAATGAACGAAGAGCTGCTGGTTAAGGTCGGTGCATTGGAGGAGAGCGACAGGTGCGGTTCTAGTACTGCAGAGATCCGGATGAGGGTTTAGGATTGAGAGGGTAGGCCTGAATGAAGGGGTTTGGAGGGTGTTTTGTCAAGGTTACAGCAAGGGTTCCGGGTTTGCCTGTGCCGTGCATGTCATGTACAAGCCTCTTGGATGCAGTTGAGCACCCTACTCTGCCGATTTCGCGTCTGCGCAGTGCTGTCTGTTCGCATGGTGTCCTTGCAACATCCAGACATCTCCACCCACTGCGCCCGCATGCAGTTGCGAGCCTTCGGTGACGTGCGCATCGCTGTAACCCCGGCTGCATTCCACTCATGCGGGTTTTCAGCTGGTGCATTTGCAGTGCGCTGCTCAGCACTGTCGGCGAAATTGGCAGCTTCCCATGTGGCCAGGAACGTGGACTGTGAGTTTGGGCACTGGACTTCCTGGAGTGCCTGCAGCGTGACGTGCATCCTCCTAAGTTGGTTTGCTGTCCCACTGTGTGCAGATACTTCTGCGGAGTTGTCTTCAGGTGGTACTGGTCAAAGATACCATACCAGGACTGTGATCGTGCACGCGCAGGCCGGCAACGGAAAGTTGAGCTGTCAGGCGTTCCGCTGCGAACCGGGGCCATTGTGTCCTGAGGCGTCGGGACACCGGTGTGATGGCGGCCGGAGACCGAGCTGCTTGAACTTCAGCCTGATCCCGGCAGAAGCCCGGTTCTGGCTAAGCCTTGCAATGACCTTCAAGTTTTCGCTCCACGAGAAACCTCAACTAAGAGATGAGATCAATGGCGAGGCCTACATACGCTGTCAAACGCATCGGCGCTCGGAGAACCCCCCTCCCCCCGTGCCCATGCCCCCACGCACAAACCTGGAGGAAGCAGTTTGTCTTACCTCCCACGCGCTGAACTGATGTTGCCCGGCTGCGGCTGCATGGTGGTTTTGCATGTGGCGGTGGATATGTTGGTGTTATATAATAATTAAGATCTCAATATTGACCATGTCCTGTGACTCGTGGCCCAGGCATGGAGGAGGTGGAAGCCTGTATCATGGAGCCCTGCGGTGCAGCACGGGATTGCCAACTACTCAAAGGGCTGGGGAAAGTATTGAGGGATGTAGGGGCTAGTTTATTAGGTCTAGCGCCGAGAAGTCGAACATTTGACGACTTACACCCCGAGTGGAGGGTTTGAAGTTTGAACTGGTGTTAGAACTGATGCATAATCGTCCTCAGTTCTTGGGTGAGCATTCGTCGTTCCGACTCCGAGATTGCAAGCACAAGCCACTTCTGAGGTAAGACTGAGCCGCGGTGAGACTTACGCTTCGAGTTTATTTTGCAATCCCAGCATGCCGGCATGCTGCTGTAGCAGCATGTAGCAACTGTGGCTAGTGTTGAAGCTCTTGTGATTCTTCTTGTTCGTCACAGTCGTCGTCGTTGTCATTGTCCCTCCTCGCCACGCCCAATTTCTCATTGCTGGTCTTCTCACAGTCGCATATGGTATTTGTACATTTGTCGTTTGTACCCTTTGTCGCGCGCTGAGGCTCCTACACAGAGTGGTGAGGAACTCAGATGGGTTCCAGATGGTGAGACTGCTTCGAGAATAAATTGCGGCAGCTATTGCGACAATACACCAGCCTCCGTTCGAACTTATATACTTTTGACTACCAACCTTTCGTATGGCCATAACAGTGTGCTTTACCTGTTTTTGTTTCTGTGTGGAAGGTGTCCTTCTTCTTCTTCTTCTTAACAGACGTGTGTGTCATGAGGGTCGTCGTGTAGCCTTCGTAGTCGATGTAGCAGTTGATCTGCGGTGTTCAGCGACCTCAAATTCGAGCACTCCGAACCTCCTTTAGCATATGGTGGTCCGAAATCCTACTTTTTCTACAAAGGGGGTGCATCAGCAAGGAGCACTTGGAGCGACTGCAGCCGAAACTGCGGTGGCGGCCATCGGAGTCGTTCCCGCGACGTCTGGCGTGCCTTCGGCCTTTGTCTATGAATGGACGTCAGAGAAGATGAACAACAATTATACATGGGCGTTAACTATTGCCTACATTATATTGGGGGGTTCCTTCACTAGCTATACTATGTTTATAGTCTATAATTATAGTGTAGTGGGCCCCAAAACCATATTCTATTCCTCAAGGCCCCGACAATACTCACCCTGAGAGAGGAGTCTCCAGGATTTAGGGCCGTAGAGGCTCAGTTCAGGTAGGATTTCTCAGAAACGCCATGTTTGAACTCTGAGCCCATGTCTCCATATTCTATGTCTGTCGGTGTCTGTTTGTCTGTCTGTCCACATTTCGACATAATCCTCCGAGATGACGTGCACTGATGCCAGGTACCGCGAAGAATGGTGGAGCCCAGTGCCCCAAGGCGCCGACCTCAACCGGCCCCTGCTATTAGGGACCCAAAAAGGATATCCCTACCTTACTGGGCTTCATTATAAGGGGATTTTGTTGGGATATCCTTATCCTCGTTTTTGCTTATGTGCTTTTTTGGGGCCCTATGCTACTATCCGTGATGATGATGGCGGGGACAGTGGCACTGATGAGGATTATGTGGCGGCTTTCTCGAGGTTGACGATTTTGTTAGGTGTGAGGACGACGATGATGGCGATAATGATGGCGATGTATGGTGCGGTGGGGCTGGGGGAGCGTGAGAGTACGGTGGCGTTGCCTCCGAAAGCGGTGCTGCGAGTGATGCGGCTGCCGGTGGCTTCCTATAGCGCTGGTCCGTCGATTTGCTCAGGCCGACCTGGAGGAAACCGGCGAGTGCAATACCCAGGACTGCGTGGCAAATGCTTGGGGCAAGGCCACCGTCCTTCACAGTTCGGAAGTGTAGCAAGGGATATCTCTCTCTCTCTCTCTCTCTCTCTCTCTCTCTCTCTCTCTCTCTCTCTATATATATATATATAATTATATATGTACATAAATAAAAAAAAAATATATATATATATATATATATATATATTTATTTATTTATACATATCAAACTTATAGACCTAAAGCCCGTAGACGCCTTGCGAGATCGACTGCACTTGGAGCACATGGTCTTCTTGGCGATCCTGTTCCACCTCCTGTGGCATGGGCGAGGAGCTGCAGGGAGAGGGATCGAAAAAGGTTGGGGGGGTGGGGGGGGAGATGTCAGGCGCTTGTTGCCCGCAGCTCCAAACATGTAGGATGATGCCGGTCGTTGTGAGGCGAGAAGAACTCGGATCATCGTGCAGCAGGCCGCCCTTTCCGCATCCGAGTGTGTATGCGCCTGGGGCAGGATGCTCTTGCAGCTTTGGGCAACAATCAGAAACTGAACTTTGATTCAAAAACCGAAACCTATACTTACCTTTGCTAGCGGGTTCAGTTGCAATGGTGCGGTTTTGGGGGTTTCACTGCTTACTGAGGCCGGGACTTGTCCTGCATGCTACGGAAAGTGCTTGAAATGCCGCTAGTTGCAGGTGTTCGCAGTAGTGGCATTGTGTGCCTCGGCTTTCTGAACACAGCATAGAAAGGACTCCGCAAGACCAAACGCGCTATGCGCGTTTGGCAGCAATGTGTGCCGCATTTCTGCTTGTTTTCTGGGGTGGGGATGGGGTGGGGGGGGGGGTGGGTGGGGTGTGATTTGGCCATGTCGTCTCTTTCACCTGGCTCCGCCTGAAATGAGGCAAAAAGCTTTCGGCTTCTCAAAATGGATATGACAAAACGTTCGATGAAGCTGTAGGCATGAGGGTTTCCGCTTGAAAAGGGGTTGGTTATGAGAAAACGTTCGATGAAGCTGTAAGCATGAAGGTTTCCGCTTGAAAAAGGGGGATTCCGGGATATGATATGACAAAACATTCGATGAAGCTGTATAGGCATGAAGGTTTCCGCTGGCATGGGTTTTTTGTGGCTTCCGGCTGTGCGCACTTCATCTCATGAATGGGGCATGGTTGGCTCGAGTCCTAACCAACGGTAAGTACATGCCTACATAGCGTTTTTTTAAGAATCCCAGGGGATAGGCTCTAAACCCTGAGCCCAAGGCGGCCCACTCTGGGCAACCTTGCAGCGGATTCTACCAGGACTTGGCGGCAGAATTGTTCAGGGTTCCTAGTATGGTTATGGGCTTCAGGTTTAGGGTTTACAGCAGAAGCCAGAAAGTTGGAATATCATTATCGTAACCCCTTTAAGGTAAATTATAGGGGATCCTATCATTAATCCATATTCCAACTTTCTGGAGTTCCCTTTATAGGGTTGACAGTAAACTGTATCTCCAAAATCCTTATTCTGAGTGCGAAGGCCCCTCGTGCTACACTACCCAGAGGCCCCAAGGTAGCTCCTTTTTGGGGGTTCAGATATGGAATCCTATAAGGTAATCCCAAAAACTACAAGGAACCACTATGGGGCCTCTGGGTCAGGTATACTAAGGTTTTCCGCTGTTCCTGGCAGCTTTTGCAGTTTCCTCCGGGTTTAGTCGGCCCTTTGGGATGGAAACGTCTGCAAACTTGGACCCTAGGACCCGACCAAAGGCTGACTCAAACTATACATAAATTTCCATGGCACATAGGGCGCAAGGTTTGGTGATATCGAGTTGTGCTTATTTGCTTAGCAGGGAAGTCTTGTGGCTGTGTGCGGAGGGCTTGAAAATCTTGCGGAGCAGTCCTTTGGCGTACTGTGGTAGGGATGCATCAGATCACTACCTGCCCTGGTACTACATGAGGCCGCACGTCCGATTGTTTTAGGATTGACTTTTCCCTAAACCCTAAACCCTAAACCCTAAAAGATGAGGAGTTCCGCAAGTGCCAAGAGAAGCCCTGCGAGCAGAAAGATTGTCAGTTCTCCGTGGCAGGCTCAGAGAGCTTGGGCTTTCCCAGAGAGCCCAATTCCTTAAGGACGAAATGAACCCTAAAACGGTGTAAGGTTCATATACCCATATAGGGATTCATAGTATATGGGTATAGGGCGCCTACTTTTAAGGGTCATTTGGTCCTTCAGGTTCCCCTTAATTAAGGAATATAGCTTAAATCATAATATGAGCCCCTATATAGTTTAAGCCATATTCCTTAATTGCGGGGTATTGGGCTCTCTGGGTTGTTGGATCTAACTTGGGAATCTACGGGTTCGAATGCCTGGTTGGTAGTGAGATTTCGTTTTCGTTCCTATAGAAGTATTTCCCTTTGACAAACGATGTAGCCCTATGTCAGTGTCATTCCGAGTCATCTATTGGTCAAAGCCGTGTCTGCGTAGCTGTTGACAACTTTAGAGGCTACATCAGGAAGAGTTCTAAATCCCAAGCCCGCACTTCATACCCAGCAGTGCCGGCCCTCCTAATCCCTGTAGGCCCTCCCAGCCCTCAACCCGTACAAAACCAAGAAGACCCGAACCCTGTATTATGCATTTATATATATATATATATATATATATATATATATATATACATACATACACACATATATACCTATGTATATATACACATATATGCATACTTTCGAAGCCTCAAATCACACGGCCAAGGCCTGGGAATACTGGAGCAGCTGCTCCGACAGGTAGAGTGGTCCGGAGTTGCGGTTTATGGCTTTTGGGATTGCCGGGCCTAAGGTTTCGTTTCCAAAGTTTAGGGGTTTAAAGGCAGGACCTTCCGTCCATGTATTCAGGCGATTGCACAAGTCCTGATGCAAAAAAGGCAGGAGGAATAGGGTTAAAGGATTCAGGAACGATCTGGGTGCAATCTTTAGAGTTTGGGGTGTGCGACCGTGGGCATCATCCCAAGCATCGTCGAGGGTGGGAGGTGTTTGGGGTTTGAGAGGGTAGGGTTTAGGGCTTAGGGTTTAGTTTAGGGTTTAGGGGGAGGCATGGCCCCGACATGCTACCAGCATGACAGGTGTACGGGCCATCGCCAACGAAGGCGCAGCATCGAACAACAGGCCATTGGAGGCAGGTCGCTTGGGTGGAGAAGTGATATCATCTTACACTCCCTCAGACTGTAAGCTGGTGAGTAACTATGGCTGTAAACTCTGTAGCCTCATAAATCAAACGGGATAGACGAGAGAAGCTTTCTACAACACAGATGAAAGTCTGAGCGTGAGAGTCGAGACCCGATGAGGCTTCTTAACCCTCAGCCAAAGTTTCGGAACCTCGTCCTGAAAGTCCAAAACTCAACCCGAAGCATTTGGAAATTAGGGGCACCTTGTTTTGGTGTCCTTATAATAAGGCTCCTACTATTTAGGGTAGTGTATCAGGGTCCCCTATTTTCGGAAACTCCCATTTGAACCCAAGCCAGCCCGCAGCTGAGAGCAAGAGCAATTCCAAAAGCGTCCAAACTCCTGCGATGGGCTGAGATGGAGCCGCCTGCAGCGGCTCCACGAACGAGCTCCGCCCCTGTGGCGCCTGACCCCTAGACTGCTGCTCCGACGATTGAGGCCTAATTTCGGATGGTTTATAAGGATCTTCGTTAGAGCCCTTGCTCACCCGCTCGTGGGTTCGGGCCGTTGTTTGAAAGAACGGCTGTGTCTTTTGTCTGGTGGGTTCAGATTAGGCGTTTGTTTGCGAGTGATAGAGCGGCGACGCAGTCACGATGACTATTGCTCCGTATGTTAACACATACCCTTGTCTCTTCCGATCCAGGCACTGTGTAGTGCAGAGCAAGCCACCGGCCATCGGGGAACGAACCTCTTGAACTATGCCGTGTCTCTGTAGTAGCCTGCCCTGCTTGGAGCATGTAGTGAAGTTTTGAAGACATGGGCTGACTTTTACAAGGCAAGTTGTTCTTTCTTTGCGGTTGTTCTGGGACCTGTTTCGACTTTACACTTGACACCACCACAACCGTCTTTGTGGCAGAGTTTAAGTGTGCACACGTTGTTTGATATGTTTCAATTCTTCTGTATTGGTTCGTATGTATGTGTACATGTATGCTACGTGTATCTCTACGTATGCATTTATTCGGCATGTGCCCTACCAAACAGGCGGCTTCATGTGTAGATTTAAGGTACAGACTGAGGCAAGGCACGATACCTTCTGCCTCAGCTCCGGTGATGCCGTCGACTGTACCTTCGGCGACTGGCTCGGCCCTTGGAGATGCGCCCCGAACGAAGCCTGTCATTACCGTGAGCATTTACAGTATCACAGCTGCGACTTAATGTGCTTTCTAGCTGCTCTTATGCTTTTGAAGCACCAGCCGCTCGAGTCACTAGAATAAAGTCGGAACAATGGGTTTTCATGGCTTCCACTAGCTGACTAAGCTACCCGAAATCTCAGATTCTGAACTGTTAACCTTGGACCCTTCATTCAACCCGAGTTGGGTTTAGGGATTAGAAGTAGGGGTTGGGAATAACTTTACAACTAGTAACAAACAGTGTAACACGACTCTACGAGATGCAAGTCTTCCAGAACACACAGAGCCATCTTACATTCAAGAGCCCCAAGCACGCAGGAGCCTTCGGAATAGGTCCTAAACCTCGTAGCCGAATCCCTTCAACCCGAATCCTGAACAGTGCGCGGACAGCTCTCGCAAGACTAAACCACAGCCTAAACCCTGAAGCGCTTGACCGAAACTACACCGCCGAAGCCCTGAACCCTGCTGCTTGATCCTAGTTGCAACCTAAACCTAAACCACACCCAAAGTTGGTTCTATTTGGCCATGTAACCCAAATTTTAAATTGTTATAGTACGGGAAATCTACCGAAACCTTGCTCAGCTTTCAGCAAAGGTCTCCATGGTCCGATTGTTCCCGAGAGTGCGGCGGTGGCCAGCACTTGGCGACGCGACAGGCTGGGTAGCCCAAACCACTCTTCCAGACTTCAAGCCCTTTCGCCAAGCTAACTCTTCCTTAGTGCCAACTTCATTATAACAAACCTCCCCACCTTCCTCTCCCCCGGCACCCTCGATTGATGTCAGGCACCGGCAGGGTAGATTGACTCTTGCGGATAGGTCCTAGTATTACTACTCTCGCTGACTCTTTGTGACTCTGCGAGGGCTGACAAGAAGGGCTTCAAGTGTTCGTTTAGCAACCAGTGACAGGATCATCATTGAGTTTCCGGATCGAGTTTCATAATTGAGGGGGGTGAGTAAAATGAAGTTACGATTAAACAGGTTGGGATATATAGAGCAGTCCTTAATGTGATTTACGGTATTGGACATAAAGAGCTTCTTGATTTGACTTGAGGCTTCTTGATTGGCAAAAAGGATATGGAGAATTTAGAGGGGGGATGCTAACGTCGCAACGTCCCAAAAACCCTAAAGCCAACCTCGAGGTCCTGCGCCACGCCGAAGGGGCCGGATCCCCGTGCTCAGGGGCGCTGCAGCGCGTGCGCGCCTGCAATCTCGTCTACTGTCCAGGCCCCCAGCCGCGGGGAAAGGTCTTGCGGGCATCGTGGTAGCTGCAAGACACGTGGGATCGGAACTCATGGGGTGATGATGGTTTGGACGATAGTACCTGTACTGTTGGCCGATGCGTATACGTGGCAGTAGTGGAGCAGCAGTCACAGCCAGGTCACAGCAGCAACAGGAGTAGTAGTCGTCGCAGTTGTCGTCGGAGGCGTCGTCGTAATCGTCATCGTTATACTATCTCTAGTTGTAGCCGTAGCCGCAGTCGCAGTCGCAGTCATCGTGGCAGTGGCAATCGCAGTGGTAGTCGTGGTCGTGGTTTGCTGTCAGTGATCGTAGTCGTGGTTGACATCGTCGTCGCCGCCGTAGTAGCACCAGTAGCAGTTTGGTGCCAGTAGCAGGAGGCATCATTGCCGCCGTCCTTGCCGTCGTTTTCGCTTGTGCCGTCATAGTGCTGTGGCCCCGTCAACTCTTGTCTGGCAGAAGCAGTGGAGGTCTTGCAGCTTCACTTACTTAAACTGCAACTCCCATCCAACGCCCTCGGCCCCAAGCCTTGCTTCACGATGGGACAAGTTGAGCATGCACACCCTCAGGTGCCAACACATCCAAACGGCAGGTTTTCCAAGCGAGATGACATCCTGCACGGAACTGGCCCCCACGTCCATGGAAGCTTTGGCATCTATCTTGAAGCTGCACACTTCTGTCCACAAGCCCTACATTCCCTACACGCTGCTGATTCAGCGCGATGTCCCAGTGCTTGTGCAGGTGACGAGCCCATTTCTTGCGAACTCGGGGACTGGAGCCACTTGGACATCATCAGCCCTGGCAGACTGGTATAACCACTGACTGCTCGAAGCCACGCGAGTTTTTGGTGAGGTCTGATTCTGCAGGAAGCCATCCCGTCCCTGATCTCTGAGCCTGATACCAACTAGATCCAAGATGCAAGCTGTAAGCACAGATATGGCGTGAGTTATGGCTTCAATCACAAGCGTAGGACTTGCAACGAAAGCCATAGTTGATACCAGCGTCGTCTATTACAATTTACGTTACTGGGGAACCAACCTTTCGACCAAACTCGATCGAGATTCCTGGCGGCCTTGCACCGCCAGCTGTGACGGTGGAGAGCGGAGAAGAGAAAGGCATCGGGGGAGACTTTACGGCGTAAGGGGCTAAGGGTTTATGGGAATTTAGTGGAGTCGTGGCGGGGTGCACGGTACCTAAATCCTTTAGGGAGAGACAATGACCTCACATGCAATATCACATCGTCGTAGTCAGTCATCACGAGTAGGATCGAGCAGGTATCGGAATAGTAAGGGAAGCCAGAATGCATACACCTCAGCCCGCTCGACTCCGCAGACTCTCGAAAACCGGCAGTGGCTTGCGCGATAAGAGCCCCAAGACGCTGAACCGTCCGAAATTCCCCCCCCCCCGCTCGAGTCAAGACTCAAAAATGGCACAAACTGCTTTGCATTTTATGGGTTGGAGATACCCTGGGCATCAATTTAGCCCAAAAGCCTTATATAGTATGGTCTTTGGGCCCAAAAAGCCTTACTATATGAGTCCTTAAATGCCTAGGGAGTGGAGGCCACAAGCCATGACATGTCTACTTCGGGGAAGTTCTCAAACCACGCAGGGAGCAGCCAATCTTGCTTAGTAGCTCAGTGGATACAATTTACACTTTTGGGGACAGTGTACACTTTTTGTGGCTTATGAACTCAGCAACTAAGCTTGTAACCTCGACGCCAGCGCACAGGTTCGTCAAGACGGAGCCCAGGAATGGCGGCACACCCTGTGCCGACTCATTCACGAGCCAGGCACTCCTTTTCAGGTTTTGGCGTAGGGTTTAGGGCTTCAGGGCTCCGGGTGAGAGAGAGGGCTCCGGGTTTGTAAGGTAACGGGTTTATTCAGGCTTCGGGCAGTGAAGAATGCGACGAATGTGCCGTCTTGCAGCTCACGGGTACATGGCTGTCGGTAACGATTCAAACGTAGAATACCTGTGTCGGGCTACCCAGCTCGCGCTTTCCTCAAATAACTGCAGTGTCCAAGTTGCGAGAGTCCAAAACTCGAAAAAATCAGCGCACATCTAACCCTCTAAGACTTTTAACGGCCTTTTCGCCCCTAACATCTCTAAACCCTGAACCTAAACGCCTGGGCCGTGCTCGCCCTTGACAGGTCCGCCCGTGCAACACCCAGCCCTGCAGCTCAGGGTGCGCCGGCTTTCGCATGCCATAATGTCCGATGTGAGGTTCAGATACCCGGCGCTAGGGCTCCAGCCACTTAAATAGTAGGCAACTTGGCATCTATAACCTTTCAACATGTTCGACAAGTGGGCCCTATTTACAGATCCTCGGAATAAGGTTCCTGCTGTGCAGGGACTCCCATGTGGCGGCAGTTCTAAACTGGGCCCCCGCTCCTACAGGATTATGAACAGTCCACGACCGCAGCATGAAGCTGTGTTGAGGCATCGGGGAACTGACGATGACGTTGGTCAGCCTTGTGATAGCTGTCATTGCCTTTGCTCCAAATGGCTTTCCCTACCGGAGTCGATATGAAACACACATGCCAGAACTGTGAAGACAAGCAGCTGCCAACGAGCGATCACAAACCATGATCGGTGTGACCTGTGACGATGATGGCCCGTTGTTGTCGCATTTGGTGTATTCTGTTCAGTTTCATGCTCTTCATCGCGTAGTATTATTGCTTGAGTTGGTCTTGTGTTGGCTGTCATCGTCGTCGTCGATGCTGTAGTTGTCATAGCTGTGATCATTAGCTACATTTGTTCGTGCTGCTAACCCGTGCTGTTGAATTCGTAACTGTTCGTAATCTCACATCAGTTCTCTTTGCAAACTGAGAGTTACTAATACGAAGGAGAGTCAGGGCTGCAACAGCCACAGCATTAGGAAGAAAGGAACCAGCTGTTCCAGGCTTCAAGTCGTCACTCACTGTCAATTTCTGTCACACTTCTGGAAAGAATTAGTGTGCAGCCGCATTGAAGCCACTAGATCTCCCCCTCTTGCGGCTTGCGGCAGGCTGTGTGCCTGGACCCATTGGACGATTTGGGGCAAGTGCTCCGAACCATGTGGCGACGGGGAGCGAACCAGGTCGGCGAGAGTGTAACAGTGAAATGTTTATTTAGTACAATGTCGCATGATAAAGTCACGTGTAGTATAATGTAGTGTGATATAGTATAATATAGTATGATAGAGACAGGTGGCAGAGATCAGGGCCCCAAAGGCTTCGACCCTCGACCTTAGCCCCAAAAACCCATCAACCCCAACAGCAAAAAGTGCTCAGAGCCGCGTGTGAACCCTAAGCCCTATAACCCCAAACCCAACTCCTAAAACTTCACCGCAACCGACCACGCAAGAACCTCGCCTGGCTTGTCCGAGTCTGTGCACCGAAACCTCCTTGTCAGGACGCGCTCACTGTACCCCGAAACCTAAATTTAAAGTCCTAATTAATATAGGGGCCTTTAATAGCTACCTATACTATTTTGGGGCTCCTTATTATAACTATTAGTAGCTACCTATACTATTTTGGGGTTCCTTATTATGGCTAAATTTTGTATGGCCCGCGTCAGGACGCGCTCCATGTACCTGCCAGACTTCCAGTCCCTGGAGGCGAAGGAGCTTTGGGCTTTACCCATACTTGGAGGATCATGGGGCTTAGTAAGTAAGGTTTAGGGTTCCTTTCCTTAAAGGGATCTATAGGGCTTCTATAATGGGGATCATGGGACTTAGTAAGTAAGGTTATAAGTACCCTAATTCTGGGGTTATAAGTATAGTTATCCTAATTATAACCCTACTTACTAGGTCCCATGATCCTTTAAGTAGGCCCCCCATAAGGTAAAAGCCAGAAAGTTGGAATATGATTATCCTAACCCTTCTATGGTAAATTATAGGGTATCCTACCATGAAACCATATTCCAACTTTCTGGAGTTCCCTGTAGGCCCCCGGAGTAGTTCCTTTTTGGGATTACCTGATAGGGTTCTACATATGGGTGGTTGTCAAAATTATGGTCCCGTTTTGGCTGCCCTAAATATTAGGTGGCGTACTATAACATGGACCCAAAAAGAAGCCATAATTTTGACAGCTACCCATATGCACCCCCAAAAGGAACTACTATGGGGCCTATGGGTAGGGCCTCCGGGTTCCTCAAGTGAGTGTCCCGTGTTCACGGGGTTCGGCTTGAAGGTTTCTTCAGACACACTAAGCCGCCTAGGCCCACAAGTTCCTGGTGCGGTCCTTGGATGAGGGATCCTGGAGTCTTTAGCAGATCTGCATGACCTACCTATAGTCTCATTGTAGGTTTTGGGTTTAACCAATCTTGTGAAACAAGGATCCCATGCGGTAACCCCAAAAAGGGACTATAATGGATACTATATGCTATAGGTCCATAGGTAGGATTCTAGGGCCAAGGATTTGGGAGGATTTTGGGAGTCACTACGGCTTAGGGCAGTGAAGGTTCCGATTGATGGTTTGTGGTTCGTCCTGGCCGCTTACACTAACCCCCCAGATCCCAAACCCTTGCAAACCCCACAGGACACTGGACTTCGGGCATCTCTTCTTCCGAACCTAGCCGGGGCCCGAGGTTTTTTTCAGGCCGGCAAAAAGCATTGGGAGTTGTGGCTTCATGGTTGCAGAACCCGAAACTCTAACAGTAACAGCTTAGGCTTCTGGGATTTCTGAGGGTTTATGCTGTGAGGACTTTGTACTTCTGTCTTGCTGAAACTTTGGAGTCAAGTCTGTGTCTCAGCTTGATGTGTCCTTTTTTAAAGCAGGCCTTCCAGAAAAGTTACAACAAAACGGAATGCAAATGCATGGCCATGTATCACTGCTGTGGGAAGTCCGTTCAATCAAGTTCCTGTGCAAGAGCCCAGATCAGCGTTTTGTACATGCCAGCCCCTTCTTGTTGTTGTGTTCCATGCGTTGTGTCATTGTGCATTGCATGCAGATTCTGCCAGCGGCAGTCATGAAAGCTAAGTTTGAAAGCTTTGCAGGGGTTAAGCCCTAAACGACAAAGGCCATGCAGAACCTACATGCTCATCCCTCCCGTCAAGCCCATTGACATCTCAAAACCTAGCAGCCCACAGGAACGCGGGTAGCATCATGTCCACCCAGCCTTGACGTTGCACCGATGGATGAGAGATCTTGCTGTAATCCTAGAGCGAGCAACTAGTTTTCAGGGGTTACTGCTGCTGACTGCTTTTATGATCCAGAGCTTCAGAGTCTCATGATGATGATGATGATGATGATGATGAGGATGGAGTGACCACTAGCTGTGTTATTTAGACATTGCATTCACAACAATTGCAGTAAATTGCAGGGTAGCTCTGTGGACGGCTCAGATGCCATCGGCCTTCCGGGGCCGGCTGTAGGAGGGTATGCGAGAAAAACTCCACCTAGGCCTAGAGGACAGGAGGGATCACCTTCAGCCTATATCCAGGCTGATGCAGGAGACATCTATACCAGGATGTCCAAACAGCTTATTGTATAGCACATAGGCTCATTAGAAACTTCGACAAGCCAACACCAACACCGCCCTTGGCTCAAAGTACTTGTAACTCCTTCCTGATCAGCTGGTGGCCCCGGCGTTTCCCCACGAGTGCTTACATGGTGCGCGTTTATTTCGTGCGCTTCCTAGGGCGTAGGGTTTACCTAGAGGCTCTATAGTAGTTCCTTTTGGTGGTTGATATTTAGAACCCTATGAGGTAATCCCAAAAAGGGACTACAATGGAGCCTATGGGTAAGTTGTACAAAATAACCTAAGCCCGAGCCCGACTCCCGCCACGTTTTGCGAAGCCAAGGGCACCCCACAGCTTGAGTTCGTGAGCTTGGTTCTGGTAGGCGCGCGCGCGCACGGAGGGGTTTGGAGCAGGGGCCTCTGGAGATTCTGGGGAGGTAGAAGTTTGTCGGGTGTGGATGCTCATAGGGCTCAGGGCTTAATGTAGGAACCTGATTAAGAAACCTTGGGCCTTGATTTGTCTTCCTTCTATGAATCCTACTATTCTGGGGTTATAGGCCCAGGGTTTCTTAATCAGGTTCCTACATTATTCTAGTAGCCTTATAAATCCCTTATAGTAACCCTCATGGACCCCTTTCAAGGAACCCTTAGGCCCAGGGTTTCTTAATCAGGTTCCTACTTTAGGGGATCTTACGATTTGGGGGCTCAGTGTTCCTCGAGGCGCGGGTTCGCGGGGCACAGATTCCCAAACCCGGCTTCAGGGCTTACCCAGAGGCCCCCAAAGTAGTTCCTTTTGGGGGGTTCATATATAGAATCCTATATATAAGGTAATCCCAAAAAGGACCTACTATGGGGCCTTTGGGTATAGGGACCCTAGTATAGTTACCACAAATAGTAGGATCCTTGCTATGCAGGCTTTGGAAATCCTTGCGGAGAGAGCGCAATCAAGATTCTGTTACTGTCATTGAACTACACAATGTTACAAGCCGAGCCAGATGCCAGATCGATACGTGAGCCCTGTAAAGACTTTGAGCTGTGACCGCTTGACGATGCAAATGCTGATCAGCATGGCTGTTCTAGCGCGTTTGGCCATTGTCTGGAGTCAGGAAGAAGCAGTTGAAGGATCATTGCGGTAATGCCCACATCTCCATCATGAGGCTTGCGATTTCAGTGTGATGGTAGTTGGGTTATTGCGTGCGTGGGTCAATGAGAAGAAAACTGCGTGGCATCGGTATAGTATGTTTCGGATCCAGCCTCACAGTGTTTGGGTGCACTGTCAGAGTTCTTGTCTATAGTGTGTGTGTATATGTATATTTATAAGCAGGCAAATAAAAAGTCCAACTGTATAACCTAAAGTTACCACAGCCCGCAGTACATCCTTTGTACAGATACCATGTACCCAGATCTTTTGAAACCTAAACCTGAGAGCCGTGGAAGGGGCTTGAGAATACATCGTGACTAAATGGGAGGCAGGGCCGAACTCCCGAGAAAGCCCGAGCCCTACCAGAACCTGGGTTTGGCTCTTGACTTTGAACAAATTCTCCTACACTGCCCTCAGCACTTAATTTTGACAGGCTCGCTTGCCGTGTTTTGGTCCCTGCTTCCACGCCGATCGTTGCCGCGGCGCCGGGAGGAGGCAAAGATGCTGGCTTTGGAGTGTAGGTTAAGTACGTGGTTTCAGTATTTGTTTTAGTGTTCAATGTAATGGGTTTGCTTCATGTTCTGCTTGCCTTGTATTGGGCATCTCCCACCGTAAACTGATATTTGGACGTGCCGTAAGCGAAATCCTGAAACCCTAAACCCTGAGACGGGTCCTGGAATGCAAAAGCTTTGCAGCGCGATGTGTCCCTTCCATTTCCCAAAACGGCTTTAGGCTTTCCTATAACGTATCGGGCTCTAAACAAGTATCTGAACCACTTCTCTATCGTCCTTCTACAAGTACACTACAAAATATGCCCCAAAGCCTCATTCAGGCCCTTATCTTAACTGTGAGGACATTACTGCTTCTGAGGACCTCGGGTCGGGTTATTACAGAAGAGGTAGCTCAGGGCGGGATGAGTCTTGGGTCTCTGTAATCACTGCAGCGGTCAGCAGACAAGGGTATCGGAAGCAAGATCGGCAGGCTGTAGCTTGATTTAGGGTTTAGGATTTTTAGAATTAATTACTGATATCGTAGGTGTATGCATATGCAGAGTCTTGTCGCTGTGGCACTGCTTTGAAGGCTGCAATGTGCAGGGTTTAGGGCTTTAGGCTTCTAAGCTGCAGCTCCAAAGAAGAGCGGCATACTGCACTTCACAGAGCCCAGAACCATCGAAAAACATGCGGTTCTATTAATCAGACTAGTCAAATCGCGGATTAGATTGAGGTGGAAAGTTTCTATGATCCCTGGCTCTTGCTTTCAAAGGCAAGCTATATGCCGCTCAGCACGCGGGATGTGGAGGCTGGAGCTGGGTGATGTGGGGTGCGTTCACAAACGCCCAAAACTCCCTAAGCCATCCCCTCCGGAAGGGTTTTGAATGGGGGCGGACTTACCCATTCAAGACCCCTTCCAAGATAGCCTGGACAAGTATGAAATGGCATGCTTTGCGGTCGCGGGCATTCAAGACACGGGATCTGCGCCCCTATTTGGCTCATTGCATGTTGGGGCAGTGTGTACTCAACACACATCCCAATTTCGGGCCGTGGCCCAAGACACGTCGCAGATTTCCAAATTCAAGGCCGACCCAGGGCTTTTGGCATAGCGCCATGCATCTGTTGAGAGCGAGCATCACGAGCATCAGCTGGGACTGGGCCGTGTTGAAGCCTGCGGACGGGTTCTGTCCCAGGCTTGGCCGATCCCTGAGGGCGAGCATCATTAGCATCAGCCGGATTGAGGTTGCGGGGACCAAGGCCGCGTAAGGACCTGGAGGTCTTAAATTGGTTCTTGAAAGGTCTAAAGGGAACTCCAGAAAGTTGGAATATGGTTTCAAGGTAGGATACCTTATAATTTACCATAAAGGGTTTAGGATAATCATATTCCAACTTTCTGGCTTGTACTTTAATAGTCTAATATGAGCGTTGCCAGCAGAGCGCGCAACTTGAGGGGATCCTGAACCCGTGGTAAGCTGCATTGTGTTTTTCGCCCACACAAGGGCCAGACTTTCACACACCCCACAGCTGCTGATTCTGTGAACTCGTGACAGGAGGCCTGACGAGGACGGAGTCGCGGTCTTTGAAGACTCCAAGAATTTAGGCACATAGCTGTGGCAGTATGAGAGCATTCGCAGAAGCAATTGTCTCAATAACAAGGAGAAAGCTCCGAGCCAGAGAACCAGTGCAACGGTGAAGGGTGTAGGGTTTGGGGTTTGTGAACATGAGTCAGCAGTTTTCAATTGCACCCTGGCCGAGGGCCAGGAAAGGCAAGAATGAATTCGAGGAATGCACGTGTACCATAGGGCCTGCATAATCACTCATCCGTTTTAATTATACAGTGGTAAAATATATAGGAAAGATACTCGTTCGATTGAGCAAAGCCCCTATATTACAACCAGTCTTGGCCGTTAGGCCATGCTGTTGGTTTCATCCGGGCCCCTAATATTCACCTGCCTGCCCGGTTGACCTCTAAAGTCCCCAAGCAAGAGCTTGAATGGGGGCTACCATGGAACCGATATCTGTAGCTAGCTTGAACTCGGCACCCTGGTGTGGGGAGGCTTTAAATATGAGTGTAAGCCGAGTCAGAGCAGAGCTGTCGCAAGGCCTACTCCACGGGTGCGCCGTCCATTTCACAAAGTGTGTGTTCCCTGTGGCTCCAGTTGCCTAAATATCTAATGGGTTGCTGCAGGTTGCTGCCTATCATAATACAGGACGAGGCACACACCATTTAAGCAACTGCAGCCTTCCGGTGATACCGAAAGATCGTATGCCAATGCACTCGAACTCGGGTGTATGGCCATATGCCACGAAGCAATCGCGGCACAGCCGAAACCAGGTCAGCCATCGCGGGTGTGGGGTTAGGGAACACCAAGCCCTAATCCTTAACCCTGAGCCTTAAGAGTGCCTGAACACTAGACCCGTGCAAAGCTGGACTGTACCACTACAATCCTGAACTGCACGCCTCCCCCCGAGAATTCCGATTTCGGGGGCGATCTGACGTGGTCGTGAACGACCCCATACCCTAAATGCTGTACACCCCACGCCCTAAACTCTCGAAACCCCATGCCCTAAACCACAGCCATCAATCATGTGGGACCTAGTTTGACAGGTATATGGTCCCAGGCATGAGGATTAAGGTTTCAATGAGATCAAGGGTTCAGTTGTTTACGGTCTCGGGTTTACCGGGAACTCCAGAAAGTTGGAATATGGTTTCATGGTAGGCTACCCTATAATTTACCATAGAAGGGTTAGGATAATCATATTCCAACTTTCTGGCTTTTACTTTAAGGGCCCATCGTCTCCAGGGTTTTAGGGCATTGGAGTTGAAGTTCTCGTCTTTGGGGGATTTCCTTTTAAGGTTGAGGAGGGTTGGGGGTCTTAGAGCAGATCTAACGGCCCCCCCTTTTCACAAATTTGGCTGGGAGGGGAGGGGGAGCCTGCAAGCCTTGCGACTGATTCAATGATGGCTAGATCGCCTTACTGCTGCATGTTATGCGCATTGCATTTTAAGAGTTGCTTGTTTTATTAGTGTTTGCCAAACCGATATCGGTGGATCTCGACGTAAGAGGCTCCGCATCGAGCGCCATGATTTGCTGCTGCGAGACGCCAGCAGATGCTGTGGCACCAGAACCTGTGCTTGCACAGGCCTGGGCGCGGGGCACAATTGGGAGTTTCAGACAACAGGGGACCCTAATGTAGCACCCTAAATAGTAGGATCCTTATTATAAGACCCCAGAAAAAGGTACCCCTAATTTTCGGAACCCCCCAACTGAATGCCCTGAAAATCCTGCAGCGACAAAGCTAGTTGCCTTGACTCCTTTGGGCCCGGTTCGTTGTCAGATCCTCAGCTTTCAAGTTGTAAAAGACACGTATGTAAGTATTCATGTAATTACGTATCTATGTACCTATGTATGTATACCGTGCGTATGTTTACATAGATACAAATACGTATATGTACATACTATGCTATGCATATTTGTATATATATATATATAGATGCATACACTATATGCATATACATATGTATATATATATATATGTATGTATGTATCAAAGAAAAGAAAGATGTCTGATCAGAACTGGCGCGAGAGCCTGGGAGACGACGAGCCCAGCCTGGAGGCGCTCACGGTGTGTTGGAGTTCAGGGCTTTACTTAAAGGATCATGGGACTTAGTAACTAGGCTTATAATTAAGGTAACCATACTTATAACTACTTATAACCCCAATTAAAGTACTTATAACTCTAAGTCCCATGATCCTCCAAGTAGGGTTCTGGGTTTCAGGGTTGGGCCCCTTCGGGGGGTGGGGGGGAGGGGGATAGGGGTCTATAAGGACACTCTAATATGGGATTTAAGGTTCAGGGGTTTAGGGTTACTGGCTTTAGGGTTTTAGCGCTTGAAGCCCGCGACTCAAAAACGGGTTTAGGCGTGAAAACTTAGGGTTTATGACTTTAGGGTTTTGGTTTAAGCGTTTAGGGTTTAGAGTCGGGGGGTGTGGGCGATTGCACAAGTCCTACTGCAAGAAAAGGTGAGGGGGTATGTGCACTGCAGCGCCTCCTCAAACAAAAGGGCAAGGGGTAATTATACCGCTTTCAGGCTTAAGGTGTAAGGTTTAGGTTATTACATGAAACATAGGGTCTAGGATTGTGACGTTTCAGGTTTAGCGTCTTTTGGGTTTAAGGTTGCAGAAGAAGAGGTTTCAGGTTTATGGTTAGGGTCGAGGGTTTAGGGTTAAGGGGGTTGGGGGGTTCAAGGGTGTCGTCTAAGGTCTAGGGATTAGGGTTTTGAAGGTTCAAAGCCCAGTTAAAAAACACCGGTTTAGGGGCCTAGTTTAGGGTCAGTGTTGGGATCAAATTCGCTCTACTAGGATGCCCAGTAGTACCCTTATTCCCTTTTTGTAATCCTAGGTTCCTTATAAAGTTACCCAATACCAAAAAGGGAGCCCTTTTTATTCCTAGGTTCCTGGGCATCCTATCCTACCGTTGATGATATAAATCCTGCATTACCCATAATAAGGCATATACCATAGTTTCCATAGTTTAGGGTCCTTCAGGTAATGCATAGGGTTGTGGGGCATGGGGCCCTCGTCTTGATTGTTGTGGATTCGGTTCTCGTCGGATGCATCGCCAAGCCGTCCCTGTCTGTGCCCACCTTCTTCAAGTGATCATCGCTGTGTCTGAATGCTGAAGTCAGAGATTGGGGCTGACACGATTTATGCTGTTTATACGATATGTTCGATTCTTTTCGGGTGGTTTAGGACCCCGAGATAGCTATGGTAGACCTGGTTCGAGCGTTTACAAACACGTGATTTGATGCTGCGGTCGTTCAGAATCTACGTACCTTGTCATCGCCTCGATGCTGGGAGGATGTTGCATGGACTTCAGCATACAAACAACTGGGTGGAAAAGGAACCGCCTTGCCTGCTATTGTTTTATGGTTTCAGGTGCCTTACATGTTTATTCCAGATGGAGCCCGGGAATCCCCCAAAACCCTAAACCCCCGAAGTGTAAGGGCAGCCTGTTTAGATGCCATAGGCACTTCCCTCGGTGGTTCCTCGGTTGCACCCTAAACCCCCGGACATCCCGGTGACACATGGAATTGTCCGAGATGCGACGAAACACCCAAACCCCAAAGCCTCTAGTTGGAAGCCGACTGCGGCAGACGGAAAAGTCACACCAACTAAGAAAAAACGAACCCGAGATGATCACCAGGAGCAGGAGGCAAAACCCACGCTCGAGCTGTCGGCAACCGGACAGGGCCCGGCTGGAAAGGCCGGGAGACCCTTCACCCCAGAGTTTACAGTAGGGGCCTTCATAATCGGTATTTGTATTCCTCAGGTATGCATGGAATATGCACTGATTCCCCAGGCAAAGTTGTGAAGCTCCAAAGCTACATGGCACTATTGCATGCCACGGGGATCAGTTCGTCGCACTCAATGCGCGAGGGTGTTCAGATATCCGGATGCATATGCCTTGAAGAGAAACACAGCTACATATGCCACTCCGGATGGTTGAACAGTGTTTGCTTCTACTCTTGTCGACATTTCTTTTACATGTGCCTGCTCGATATGTGGTTAGGGCTTTTGTTGCTACTGCTGTTACTATGGTTGCAAGGGTAGTCACTGACACAATGCCCCGAAACCACATGTGGCCTGCAAAATACAATTTTGTAGCTGTTGTTTACTAGCCTTCTTGCCTTCATTTCTGAATCATTTGGCCAATCCCCTAGGTTGCCCGCTGTTATTGAGGAGCCACTTTTTGTAGTGAGTGCATGTGGAATTCAGAAGTTGCTTGCAAAGGGAGCTCGAGCAGAGAAGTTAATTACCGTGGGGTCCTAAAGTGCCACAGGCACGGGCAGTCGGGGTCAAAAAGTTAAGTCCAGGCCTGGCGTTTGGGCTTTATAAGTACCCAGAGGCCCCAAAGTAGTTCCTTTTTGGGGTTCATATATAGAATCCTGTCCTATAAGTAAGGTAATCCCCATAAAGAACTACTATGGGGCCTCTGAGTATGTACAAGTTAAGGTTCAGCATTCCTGCGCAATCGGTCATTCGTTCATGCTGGAAGGTCCACCCATCCTATGCACGGCACGAGCTTGAAACCGCATGCCCCGAACAGTTTCCTAAACGGGAACCCGACTGCGCAGGGCCTCGATGTCTCTCCGTATGAAGACGTGATACCGAGTCCTGGCAGTACCTCTCGACCCTTAGCCCTGGAGTTGGCAACGGGGCAGAAGTCTCCAGATTGCAATTTGCCAGCTGCAGTACCAATTAAGGTGTTGGTGAAGGTCGTATCCGGGGAGCCGTGTAAGTGGCGATGTCAGTGGTGGTGGTTACGCAGCTTGTTCGTGGTAGTGCTCTGTGCGTGAGAGTGTGAGTGTGAGTGTGTGAGTGTGTGTGTGTGTGTGTGTATGTAGGTGTGGGTGTGGGTGTGCGCGCACGTGTGTGTTGTTTGGTTGGTGGTGTGTCGCTGCGTGTAGGTGTGGGTGTTTGTGTATTGAGTAAGGTTTCGCTGCCTGCGGAATTGCGCCAGTCTTTGCTTGCTTTGTGTTGTATGTACTGGGCTC